CATTTCTAATAACTCACCCCATTCTAAATCTTGGGTCCTTGATACCGGTTGTGTTATTCATATTTGTTGTGACTTGCAGGGACTAAGAAGATGTGAGAATGTGGAGCAAGGAAGGATAAACTTAATCATGGGAAATAGGAAAGTTACACCTGTCACCAAGATTGGAGTTTATACTTTATCGCTAAGTAGTGGGTTAAATTTAGATTTGAATAAATGTTGTTATTCGCCAGAAATGGCAAGAAATATTATTTCCTTTCATGCATTGTATAAATACTTTATCGGAAGTAGGTATGAATCAAGACTATCATGATTGGTTGTAGAGGTCTACGGTGTTGGACAAGGCTACAACAATCATGAGTGCGCATAAGTTTTGAGCATTGGACTTAACCCACGCTCACTAGAATCACTTCATGGAATTCTATCTCGAGTGATCGTGAGACGGTAATATCATATAAGTCTTCAAACCTAGAGATATGATTTGTTACTTGCAAGTTGGTTATGCATTGATTGTACGAAAATGCATTGGTAACTCGATGTTACAAAACGTGGTTTTGTGTATAATTCAATGAGTGGTAGAACAAACATATGATTCGAAGCTTATCTATTCCTTGTTGGATTAGAAGCTGATATCTGGGCCCCTCGATGATTTTGTTTTGACCTATGTACCGGGCCCGGTCAGAACTAAGTTGATGTGTTCAATTAAGTTCTTTGTCAAACAAATCGGAAATCGGGAAACAAACTGCTGGACAATAAGTAAGACATTGTTCCGTGTATTTGTCTGGCTGATATCTAGAACAAAGGATTATATGATCACTTATCTTAAATGTCGTACCATCATCTTCTCAGTTCCGAGAAACCTTGAAAAGAGCTACGATTGCCGATCAGTTCCTGAAGTCATACTTGCAGTAATAGTTATTAGACTTATCCAAGTGGGAGATTGTTGGATAAGGTGTGTAAGTCCATAACTATTTCTGGTATGTACTTGACCCGACCCGGCATGGTCCATTTGGGTTGCATGGCACCATGCAATTGGATAGACTAAATGAGAGAAATAACATTTGGAGATTATTAATATATTATAAGTTCTAATATATTAATAATATTATTTGATTAGTTTGAGCAAGAATTAATTTAGAATGAATTAAGTGATCAAAAGATAACTAATTAAATATATGGGTTGATTATGTAAATCATCCATATCTTGTATAGTGGGCTAAGAGGCTCCATGGATTATCCAGTTGGGTTCTACCCATAAGATGCTTCATGGATGCTCCATGGGAGTTACAAACCCATGGGTCATGGAAATGAAGAGTCATGACACATTAGGGTTTACATGGTGTAACCCTAGATGTGTCAACACTATATAAGAATCCTATTCTCCACCAAAATCGGCTACACATATGAAACAAGAGGGCTAGGCTGATTTCAAGAAGTGTGTATTCTCTCAAAAGTCTTTCCAAGAGCATTTGGTGTTGTGTGAAGCATTTGAGGCGTCACACTTGGGGTGCTAGGCTCACAAGGTTTCAAGGAACATAAGCAACAACAAGGTAAGTTATTCTATCTTTCATTCAAGTTAAAAATTGTTCCCCATGTATGCTAGATAGGAATATAACCTTGGAATTCAACTTTGCATGATAATTAGACAAACATAGATCCAAGGTTATTAGGGTCGCATGTACACTTAGGAAGTGTCAGAATGATCAAAATCCCATCAAACACATCGTTCACAAACACCTACATGTTGCTAGCCTACCAACGTTCCACTGGACTGTTTAGAAGAGTATGTGGTCGTCATCTATACTCTGCTAGATGACTGGATCAACAACAACATTGAGGCCTCTCATAATTTTATGACACATCACCTATTACATCTACCCATGTTTAACCCAAACATTTTCGTAGATATAAAATACATATACAGTTTAAATCATTGAAAACGTGTATTAAAACGTTCATCCAGCATAGATAGCAAATATTCAAATAATATGCACACATAACACGTAATTTATATAAAATACTTCATATCTATGTGTAAGCTGAAAGTAACTACACACTCACCTGAGTAGGTGGTGACTCGGCGCTTGGACAACACTTCGTTACTCTTAACACAGTTTTCCTTCGGCAAAACTTAGTATCATTGCCAGTAGGGTTTAGTCTAATATTCACTGCAACTAATTAATAGTCTAGCTATTATTACTATTATATAAGTGTTAAACAATACTTATATAACCCATAATAATAGCCCAAGTACTTATTATAAGGTCCTAATAACAATACTATATTAAAACATAAGCTATACTAAAGATAGGTTAGGTACAGCTCACTTACAGCAGGTTTCCTTCGAAATCGGGCTTTGCGGGAGTAGCGTTTCCCAGCCAAAAGGCTCTTTTCTCGGGGCTTCGGGAGCCTCGGGGCTTCCTTGGGGTGCTAGGGGTTTTATCTAGACTTTAGGGGGGGGGGGGGGGGGGTTGGGGCTTTAGAGAGAAACTAGAGAAAGAAGGGTTTGAAGGTGTGAGGAAGTGAGGGAACCCAACACCTCTATTTATAGGGGTGCTGACTAATGCAATCGCCTAGTAGGAGGACCTACTGGCTGAGTTGGGGCATGTGGCAGCCTTATGGTGGTGCCACGCGTCCAATTCTAGTGGTGCCACGTCACCCGTATTGTGTATCAGCCTTCAAACTTAGAAAAATCATAAGTCTCGCATACGAGTTCCGTTTTCAACATTCATTTTTTTAACGCGTAGGTAAAATCAAGATCTACAACTTTCATTTAGACTCCGTTAGCTAATTCTCGACCGATCTCAAATTTAACAGTAGGAGGCGTTTAGACTGTTAAATGACCGTGAAGAATTTGTAACTCCTTCATACTGACTCCGTTTTCATCTATATTTTTACCGTTAAGTTCCTATTAATGAGATCTTCAACTCTCATTTAGGTCGCATAAGCCAAAACTGCTCGAACTAAAATTCGAGTATTGAGTCGTGTACTGCTAAGTCGAAACTTAGAAAAATCATAACTTCTTCATACGGAGTCAAATTTTGGCGTTCTTTTTATGGATTTTATCGATCTAACATATTCTATGACTTTCGTTTAAATCACTAAGGCTAAAAAGTCCTCCATCGTAAATTCACTATTTACGTCTCCCGGTGCCGTGCCGGTTTTGCCGTAAAACTTCGGCGGGCCATAACTTCTTCGTTATAACTCGGATTTTGGCGTTCTTTATATCCCCGGAATCCTTGTTTCGACCACTACAACTTTATGTAAGGATATCGGACTTATCTCACACTTTAATTTTGATGCATATTTTTATTCGTTATTAAATATATATTTATAATAAAGTAATAAGCACACAAATACACATAATTCACATAGAATTAAAATATTTCATCTTTTTTATATCAATAAGAGTTACAATAGTTGACCTAGATTATTACATCGTCTAAAAATGCTTAGCCCCAAAACCCGGGCGTTACTACAGGAGTCAACACAAAAACGCTAGTCCTAAGCCTGTTGAATCATATATATATATATATATATATATATATATATATATATATATAATAATAATAATAATAATAATAATAATAATAATAAAAACGATAGTTGAAATAGTTTAAATGAGCTTAAAACAATATAAAAATAGTTTGAAACGGTTTGAAAATGTTTGAATACGAAGTGGTAGTGATGATAGTCGGGTTAGAACTCGTGTGAGTAGCCGTATCCTATTAATAATTATACACGATATCATATTTAAATTAATGAAATATTAATTTAAATAATAAATTAAATTAGTGTAATAATAATTTAAAGTGTTAGACAATAGTAAATTATGTAAGAAATACTTACAAAAAGCATTAGGAATTATTTGAATGTATTCTTGGTGTTTTCGGTGTTCGTGGGAGTTCGTGGTGTTCTTGGTTGGGAACTTGAAGATTTGAAGATTGTTCTTGGTGTTCTTGGTGAATTTATGATGATCTGGGTAAAAATCGCATGTAGATATGGGGTTTACTGATGAGTTTTGGGAACAAACAATGAAGGATTTCGGTGTGAAAAGGGAGAAATAAGATTGTTTTTGGCCATGAATATATATATATATATATATATATATATATATATATATATATATATATATATATATATATAGGATTGTGTTTTCGGCTAAGAAGTAGTTGATTTCTGCCATACACTACTAGAAAAACAGCGTTTTACGACGCTCATTGCGCGTCGTAAAACGCTCAGACGACGCACAAATGCACGTCCAGGAAGGCCCTGTCATAAAGAGAGACGACGCGCATTTACGACGTGCAATGCGTATCAAGGAAGGCCTTGTCATAAAGGAAGACGACGCGCATTTGCGTGTCGTAACCTTACGAAGTGCGTGTTTATGACACGCAATGCGTATCAAGGAAGCCCCTATCAAGAAAGGTCATGTCATAAATGAAGATGACACACATTTTTGCATATCGTAATTTTAAATGTTTAAAAAAATATTCTTTATAGATTTACTAATTTTCAAATTAAATTTGCATTTAATGTCTCATAACAAAACATAAAATACCATATACAAAAAATACAATCTACTGTATAAAATTTAAGGTCATACAAATAGTCGATCCATGGAAAGATAAAACAAATCAATAGAAGTTGTTTTCTCCCTATACATGATTATCACATACTAAATAACAAACTTTATTTCATATTCATACATATGATTACATTATGCATTAACAAAAACATATACCTACATCTTCGCCTAAAATGTTATTACATGATGCAAGTTGGCCACTTCATTGATGGATCACCAAGGGGAAGACCAACAACGGCCCTAATATGTTCCATGATGTGCCCATACTCATGTCCTGTAACTTTAAACATTTAATAAAGTAAAATAACTTCTAAAAATAAAATTTCACAAGAAACAACATATCATAATGAGAAATTACTAACATGAATGGAAGAAGTACACGATAAATTTGTTTTACCAAGAGTGGCATGGACGATCAGGTGCTATAAGCTTGTCCAAGCTGCCAAACAAAAGCCAAAACATTGGAAACTATGCAGCTGCAAAAGCCACAATATTGGAAAAAGTTGAATCAGAGTTTCTTAGAAATCTCCATATTTTTCACAGTTCATGAAGCATTTGGCAGTGCCTGTAGATAGCTCAGAGGCAAAAATTTGACATTGAAAAATGTAGCATGCTTCTTTTGAAGTGTGACATAGCTCAGGGGCAAAAACGTAGTTTGATAGAGAAACATGATTATCTTACCATGTATGAGCAGAAGGCAAATGATCAGATCTTCGATAAACTTTGTGAATCTCGATGGTGGTGCTAGTCTTTGGAGTAGCTTGAAATCCATTCCCAAATCCAGGCGTCACCTCCTTTCAAATAGCCAATAAACATGTTCGTATCAGAAACAACTAATAAACCATGTTAATTCTTCAAGAAAATTTAAATAAATACACATTTCTAGAAAGAGACCTTGAAGATTCCTCCTTGTCTCACATATAAACGAAATGTAAAAAAAAAAAATTAAGTCTCACAAAGTATATGGATAATTTTATACAAAATTCTATTGAAACAGATAAAAACTTGGGTGTATTTATATTAGGTCTTATCCTAAGAAGGCCCATAAACAAGTGATATGCTTAAACAATCCTTAATTATTTTCCAAAGTGTGGTAGTTTGTTACTAACATGGAAGGCCCATAAACATCTATTATACATCATCCTACTTTCCTTTCATCTTATTACAACATTCTACTTTCAGAAATCCACCCAGTTTTAGCAAATTTATTACAAATACAAAGTGACTTCACTGCTTAATTAGGTAAAAAATTTAGAGTATAATGTCCTAATAAGCAAAACAATTATAAGTAGAATATCATACATATTATATTCTTTAAGAAAATCCATGACATCAGGATAAAAGGGTGATGGCCAAGTTTGTCTGTTTAAATTTATCATCAAAAAACAAAAAGGTTTATTTGAAAAGACTAAATTTTCACCTGTATTGCATGGCCAATATGTTGTACAACCACCATTTGAAACTTTCTTTGCATTTGTCCTATCGTGAGACCCCAAGTACATAGAATTACCATATTACCCTTCCACCAAGAAATAATATTTACTTTTTATTTAACAATTATTATATATTATATTGTGAGGGCCCTGGTGCAGTCATATTCTTAATTAAATTTTAAACATCATTTATCCGAACAACACTGAATGGGAAGAAAAAGAAAGAACATGTCAAGTATATCTATTCTAGCCAACAGCAACATCTTAGGGACAGGAAAGTTTCTGAGAGGCCTTCATACCTGAATTTTTTGTATTTACAAAAATAGAAAGTTAAACATAATAAAAAAATTCCTTCAATGACTACAAATATCAAAGAGTTAATTTTTACCGTCCTCTCCAATAATGGAATTTGAATCGAGAGAAGAAGTAGAACTCACTTCTTTGCTTTATTGATGCTTCTTGATATAAGATCAAAATCCATGTGGAAGAAACCTATTTGTAAAGTGTAAAATACCAGGTCCATTCTTTGCCCTACATCAACTGTTTTGCCTTCTATTGCATTCATTTGTTGTAGTGCTTTCTCCTGGTTGCAATAAAGATAAAAAAATGTTAGCTGTTTTCTTATGCAAATTCTAATTAGGTTAATAAGACATATTCAAGGTATCAGGTGCTCGAAACAGAAATTGTGTATTCTTTATCAAGATCTTTAAATATATATATTTGGTCAAACAAATGATTGATTTGATAATCATAATGAATTTTTTGAAACTGATTTTCTTACTGATTATGTCGGATACAAGTTTTTTGTTGAATAGAAAAATGTGTTGCATTTATGTTTTATAAACTTATGGTGTATTGTGAGTTTGGTACAATATAGGGGCATTATTATATGTCATGAAAAAAACTATGGAGTGGCACTGGAAATCACCATAGTATAAAATTTGCATGAACATGTAAACTTTATTTGTTGAGTACCTTTTCACCAATCCGGCTGTAGAACAAATATTTTGCCAAATGAGCTTCTCTAACTTCACTTTCTCCTAAATTTTCTTCAGCATCCGCGATTCTGAATAAAACAAGAACAAAAAAAGATGGTGAGACAGGCCAAACCAATCTATCACTCACTTTTGCTTTGTATTTTCTTTAATAGCAAACTGGAAGCCATGGAATTTGAGGTCCTGAACATAGATTCCATTAACTTTCTTATGATGGAACATGGCAGCACATATACATTGTTATATTGCAATACAAAATCCCAAACTCCAACATCTTGTATTATGATCTTAAGTTCATGGTTCGATGGATTAGATTTAGACTTGTTCATTTCAAACCTATTCAAGCATAACTACTGCAACATTTTCATGTAGGTATCGGTGGTTATATACAAAAATGCTAATGTCATTCAGTAACAGATTCAATAACAAATCCATGTAAATTGCAGATGGATTAAGCATACGAAAAAAATTGTTGCAGAAATACGAACAACTACCTTCAAGTTTGAGGTCGTTAAATCTATGTACATATATATTTATGCAAATAAGCATGGATTATTAGTGAGATGCAACGAAACATAGCTTACTTTTCATCAAGCTTCTTAAGCTCTTCGGCAATCCTAGCACGCATCGAATCCAAGACCTTCTGGTCGACTTCCAGCATGGAATTCACGACTAGGGTTTTGTGCAACGACGCCATGTCATCAAAATAAAAAATCCACACAACATGAACAAAAATTTATGAAAGTTCACAAAAAACTATGAGATCCAATCGGTTAATGAGTGGAGATGATTACCGTCGGCCACGACAGTGGTTATGACCTCGTCACGAAGGCGAACTTTCTCAATTTTGTAGACCTGCTTATGAGGCTCTGAAGATATATGGGAAACAATGGTTGAAGAGTTTTTGGGAGACATAACCTAGGTATAACAGTTGGTCCACCCTATATGTCCATCAAAAAATATTTATATGTGTAAGTTAATTAACAAAGAAAAATCATGAAATAATTATTGTTGAATATACATTCAATATATATCTAACCTTCTTTCTACATTCCTTGTCTCTAGATGTGTATACAACATCACAACACCAGTACGCATGTAGAATGAACAGTTTTCAGAACCCTGGTCAACAAGATAATATGGTTTAATAAGATAATTCAACCAATTCAGCTATATGAAAAGCTATACAAGGATAAATTATTAATCACTAATCTTTCTAGAAAACTGGGAATGTTAAGTCGTGGGAGAGAGTTTTCAGGCTCAGATTTGGAGTGATTGAATCTGCAAGATTCTCCATATTTCGATTGGCCAATTTGGTAAAACTGCAACATAGTTGGATAAGCATGTACATACAGTATGGATACACCAACAGTGAAAGAAGATAATATTAATAAAGCAAGAGGCAAATACTAGTAATACAAGTCTATAAGTCCATTAGGTACATTAAGTTACTCTACAGGTTACCAAACTAGGCCTACAGATGGGAAGTGGAGCCATAAACACTGACGTGGAGACTTCCTATTGGGCCATGAGACGCACATGTCTCTTGCAACCCAGGACATACAGCGGATTGATATGGATACTATCTTACCAACACTTTTCTTATTTTTTCCTATCTGCTGTTAGATAGATCATAATGTAACCTAATAAAATGGATTCATAAAATTCATAAGAAATCTAAACATGCCAGCCTTTATATATTACGAAAATTTGTTGCTGTATATATTAGTAAAATTCATAAAGTGTTTAAAGAATGCTTAATGTCCAAAAAGATAGCTTGAAATGAAAGATTACATACTTGACTTCACGAGAAACTAAAGTTACGGCAAGCATCTTTGTTAGACAACGATAATGGTGTAGAAACAGAGGTCAATGTCTTATCATTCATGGCTAGATTTTCTTCCAGAGCGATGATGACGGTGGCTACATAATAGGAAAGTACGAGTTGTGATCATTGGGTGACAATCTCCATAGCATCGTGTTCTTCGCCCTTGAAGTCCAGCAACAATAATGGTGCCCTACGGATCCCGATGTCAATTTTAACAATCTAATCAGAGAACTTTGAATTTGTCTCCCTTAGATCTGCCAAAACCCTTTGGTTTAGTGAGGAATGGAGTACACCATTGGGGTTGATCACCAGAGGAAATGTCAACGTGTGTAGTAGACCAATGGCACAACTCTGATTTAACCTCCTATTGGTGTTGCTTTCCTTGAGATTCTTGGGATCGTTGTATCATCTTCTCAATAGATTGACGCATATCATTGAGTAGCTCTTTCATGGCTCTCGAGAGGTCCTTCATCTACTTATCTTGAGGAACTGAAGATCGAGAGAAGGAAATGGAGGTTTTATGAACCGAAACCCTAGTTCCAACAATAGTCGTGGTTCCAACAACTGTACCCCTTTGATTTCAATTTCATGGCCTGGTGACCAAAAAACCTTGGATTTCACTAAGAATCGGAACCGCTTGAAGGTTTTTTTGGTATTTGATTGTGTGTGTGTGTGTGAGAGAGAGAGAGAAGAACGATTGAAAGAAGGTATAGGAGAACATGGCAACTTTTCAAAATTTTGGAATTTCATTTCCCCAGCGAGCTTCTAAAGCGCGTGTTTATGAAAAAAAATCTAAACAAACTCCAAAAATACGAAAGGGAGGAAGAGTTACAGCCGCATAATAAGGTCTAGGGTTTATAGAGAATAGGAGAAGCAGAGAGAGAAGGTTGTTAGCTGGTGGAGAGGATAAATTCGTTATTCCTTCCCGAACAGAAACAACTTGATAGAACGAAACCTGCAAATGAGGTCTAGGGTTTACATGGAAACCCTAAAAGATGGATGAAATGTGGGGTTTCTAAGTTTTTAGGATTTCATTCCCCCTGCTATTAAAGGATTGATAGCGCGCTTCCATTAAAATTTATAAAGCAACATCCTTAGATGACACACATGTGCCCTCCATGTTTTTGATTTTTTTCTTTGAGACACTAATCTAAGGGCACACAATAATGCATGACCTAAATGCTTAAATTTTTTGAAGAGACTACACCATTTTAAAGTCACTCCCTTTTGCGTAACATAAATCAATGAGTGTCGTGGATTGTGCGTCGTAAAAGGCTATTTTTCTAGTAGTGATAGCAAACCGAAAACCTTATGCTCCTTGATTCTAATACTGTAAACCACTTCTTGCATAGATTCCCTAAACTGAAATCTCCATGTTTCTAGAATCTTTGGACCAAAACCCTTATATAGGGTATTTATTCATGGTTTAACTTTAGGATGTTGACTTGTATTGACTTATATTATTTTAAATCAACATAGGTTTCAATTTACACTTATTTATTATCTTATAAACATGCCCTCATGGCTATATCTGATACAATGCAACAAGGTTGCAGTGTGGTTTCACTTATACATGTTTAAGATTTAGACTTTGCATGTTCTAAAATTTTCCGGTTGTGACAACATGATACATAGTAAAGGCGTCAATGTGATGTTTAAGATGTTTGTAACATCAAGCTAGTAATAGTTATTCGTGACTTCTAGGAAGCCTTAGATGAGTTTAACACACACACATATATATATATATATATATATATATATATATATATATATATATATATATATATATATATATATATATATATATATATATATGATATAACAGGTCCAACAATATTCCAATAAACAAAGTGATATTTTATTTAAATCTAGTTTAAACATTGGAATAATGTAAGGCTAAACGAATCACCTTGTGTGATCTAGGAGGCCTATGTTTTATGGACTAAACACCTTTATGCTCAAGAAATCTACGAAAGCACACATAGATGAATCTTGTTTCTTTTGGGAAGAAACTAGACACTGGAAGAGGATTTACTTCTCTTGTTTGGAAAGAAACTCTAGAATAGACTACTACTTCTTGTATCTACTAGATACAACTCATCCTTTTCATATAACACTTAGGTACTTGGAACTTAAATTTTAATCTAATATATGTAAATGGCTTTCACATATTTACTAAAGAGTATCAGTTGAGCACAATCAAGTTGGAACTACACTCTCAGAGTTTAGTTTATTATTTACTAGGTGTAAGACCCGTACATTACACGGGTTTATTAAAAATAAAAATTTAATATAAATATTTAAACATTAAATATTTTTTAAAGTAATACTTTTATATAAGATAATATAATCTTTTTGAATATTTATAAAAGAAATCAAAAATTCTTTGAAGCATTTATGAGACTTTATTATCAAATTAATAGAATGATTTTTCTTTTCTTATAAAACTCTTTAGAATTTTATGGAATTTTATTTTAAAAAAAATACAAATTCCCAAAAAATGACGAGTGGAAAATAATAGTTCCAAAACTCCCACAAAATGACATGTGTCAAAATGAAGTAGAAGAAGACATGTGGCAAAAAAACCTTCATTTATTAGAGTAGATGTTTAGAACATAAATTACTTGTAATGTAAAACAATTTTTGTTTCGGAACAATCTATGTTTTAAGTTAGCAAGCCTAAATTTATGTCTCAGTTATTTTATTCAAGTGTGCAATAATTTAGTTAATCGTTTTCATAATGATAATATTCATATTCTGAAATGATTAACTTCTATTTATGAGACTAAATCAATTAATAGAATTGTGAAGTAAATATCAACATTTTTATAATAAAATTAAGTTCTATATGAGAAGACTTTTGACTTAAACTTGTTTTAAGTCAAAATCATCTTTGACATTGTTATCTTTATTATATAAATGACATTCACATATTCCAACTTCAAGAAAGGGATCTTTAAAGGAAAATAATGTAGTTTATTTGATATATGTGAACCTTATTTATATGTAAAGGATTCCTAATGACATTTTCACTAACGTGTAAATCTACTAAATACATATTTGTATAATACTCTAAATGTGGCTTAGGTTATCGTATGCAAATCCACCAAGAACAAGTATATTATTCTTGTGAAAGCCAAGTTAGTATAAAGCAAGCTTCTAATGACAAAGCAAGTGGGAGGTACATGGAACTTGAAGCAACTCAAGAACCATAACCTTATGTAGTAATAGTTGGTACTAGTTTTAACAAGGATTTTTAAACTTGAATAATATTTATTCACAAACAAAAATTGTTCGCATTAGTGGCAGAATTCATCTATGAGTTGAGAAATGCGTAATATCTAATTGATGAGCTTTTTTTTGATCGCTTCTGAAAAATCATTCAAATACAAAGATGCTATGTCAGATCTCAAATCTGATAAATGACTTAGACTCATGAACATGAGATGTAATCCATGTATAAGAAGCAACTATGGGCTTGATTAAAATTTATCCCTATAGCAAGGCTAGAAGGAGTAAATAATTCTTCTAGAAAGAATAAATTACATGGATAAGCATACACATTTATAGCAAGACTTGTAGTAAAAGGATTTTCTCTCACTCATGTCATTGAGTATGGTCCTCATCATACTCATGACATTAACTGTGATCAAACCTTTTTCACGAGTAGCTATGATTAGATCAACAATGATATTATTTACTAGAAATTCATATTCTTAATATGAGATATAGTAAATAGATGTCAAGAAAGAATGCTATTCTTAATAGAAATCTAATGGAAGATATCTATATAGATTAGCCTGGAGGTTTTATTAATTTACGTTATCCTAACCAAATATGTAGAGCATGAGATCCACTTGTGGATATAA